TACACACTATCTCCTTTAAAACGTTAGAAAATCTGTTGCGCTTGGGTTGTTATCAAGTGGGCTTCAATCCGGTAAAATGTTTACAGCACTGTCAATACATTGTGCGCTGAGTAAGTACAAACTCTACTTTATCCAGTGGTTTTGTTCCAGAAATGTAAAGGAAGTACTGAACTGTTAGATAAAGATATCTCGGTATTGGAACGTCTTGTAACCCCAAGAGAAATCCAACCGGAAAGAACATATTATCGGCGGCTTTTACTAGGCTCTCTCGACCAATAAATTTTTTAATTTCTGTTCTTAGCTTTTATTATACTTGAAAAGAATATAGCTAATAAAGATAAATATAGAAATTGAAACAAAGGAAGAGAGCTGTTTAACAAAATTACGCGGTTATGATATTGAAATTCACGATATAATTCATGGTTATTGTGTCATAAATGAAGTTCGGTGCAATACCTTTCAGAAATAACATGTAGGCTCTCAGAACACAATAACCTGGTTACCTACCTTCTGAAGTTGCTGTGACGAGATGTCAGCCGACAAGCACACATTGTAAGATGTACTGCGTACAAAAACGAATTAAGATCATCGTTTAAAACATGACAATCTTGCACGAAAAGGGAAGGGTGTTCACCCGAGCTCATTCTATAAACAGGCTCTATAGAAAACAGTGACTGCGATAGACAGATGGAAAGTTAGGACAAGAAATTTTCAAAATTAGTTAATGCCGGTAGCGACAGTCAATTGTGTCGGCCTAATTTTTTTTTTTGCCATCAGTTTAGTTTAAGTTCCTGCTTCCTCGACTATTCATGGACTTGAGTTGTAAACCATTTTTCACTAAACGGAAGCCAAAGGTCTTTAGAATTTAATGAATTTTACCCCGAGTGCAGTATTCATGTTTTCCATCGATCTCATGGCAGAAATATGGCTCATTTTAATCACTCATCGATTTCACTATTTTTTTTTTCGATGAATTCGCTACGTTTAGCTTCAAAATTATAAATTTAGGTAAAGTACAGATCAATTGAGTTTAATGTTTCCTCTTCGTTTGATTTATGGCTAAAATTCTGGGGTGAAACCTGCTAAGTTGCATTTAAAAATTGACCTTACCAAGTCACATTTCCTTTCGAGTCACTTTTTTTTTTTGTAGATCTTGTCTTGATAAAAACAGGCAATGATCCCAACTGGCGCAAAATATTCCTGTTAATCATGTCTCTCCTATGCCATTTAAACCACCTAAAGTCAAGGGAACGTTCAAAATTTGACAACGTCTTACACTGAAGAACAGGGAAAAAATGCGGTCGGAAAGCGGAACAACAAAGTGGTTGCACAGAACGATCCATAGTTTGACTTTCTTGGTATTTTTAAAAACAAGTTTCTGAGAACATTATACTTTTTTTTCTGTTGATCATAAAGTACACTTTAAAATGACTGAGTGGTCCTCAAATTTCAGCAACAATTAAGGATACATCGATAATATAAATTTAAAAGGCACTAGCATCTGCTTTGCTCCCAGGATGCGAAGTCGCTGCTCAAAAGGAATCAGCGCCCATCCTGGTTATTTCGAGGCATGGTTGCGAACTGAGTCTAAGCCGGATGATGTTTTGCCATCTTTCATCAAAATTTCATGAGATAGGGAATATCTGTGAAAATCATTTTAAAATACGTTTTGATCCTTAAGGAAAACAAAATCAAAGGGAAGAGATAGATACAGATGGAAGCTGTTCAGTTTATCATTCTTCAGATAATACTTTTTGCAGCATGGAACCGCTTTAACAATGTTAGGTCAAAAACGTTTTCTGTGTTTACTGGCAAAACTTGACTCTGTGAACGAGAGAGATTGCCTCTTTCGCTTTCTTTCTTTTTTTTTTTTTTTTTCAACCAAATACCTTGAATAAATTTTGGGATGGCCACTTAGATCCTTAAACAGCTCTGAACAAACGATCTCCAACGCTCTCCAAAGGTACAGGTGTTTTCTACATTTTAAGCTAAGGTGTTTGAGACTGATTATGGCAGCGAAAAGTCCTATTGTCCTATTGACCTATTGCGTTTCATAGCGTTACTACTGTAAGGACGCTCCCTATATTTCATATGCAGTATGTACTCATGGTCAATCGGGTTTTAAATCTACTTTCCAAAGAAAATGAAAATTAACTAATCGCGAGTATTGTATGGTAAGTCTACTATCTTGATTACTGAATGAAGGACAGTTGAACAAGACTATGATAGGAGTCACCTGATCAATAAATAAGTCTACCTTGCGTGAAGCGACACGCCGGTAAGCTGTAAAGCAAAAGGCGGTCGACCGTTAGGTGGTGTTGATACGCCTGTGGGACTCCTACCATTCGCTGTCGCATAAAGTTTACCTCTTATTAGGATATCTTAGAACGACTGTCATCTGCGATGTGATAATAAGAATAAGTTTTCAAATATCATTTCCCCATCTGCAATTTTGCCAAAGCCGGATGAGATTGTTTCTTTGCGCGCGCTATTTTCTTTGTCTTTTTTAAATATACTTTCTCTCCCGCAGAAAATAACTTCAGAGATACGTTTCTCAAAACCTACATCTATGTATCCTGTATTAATTACGACCCCTCTCCCGCCAAAAACTAGAAAATATACCAAAATTGCATTTCATCCGGGTCTGTAGTCAATGAAATAACTGAACCCTCAATAAAGTGCTCCGACAGAATATCATTTGTAAGAAGGGTGCTCTTAAATCTTAGTTTTGGAAACGCTTTACGATTTTGACACTACTTTGAGAAATAAAGGTAAATGAAAGTGTCGAGCGCGCAGTTAGGTGAATCACTGCATAAACTACGTCACTATCAACAGAATATAGAGCAGCATTGTTATCTCTGACATACCCTAGTAAATATTTTGTGCGCTCCAAATAGCCAGTTAACATTTTTTTCGCGAAGGACACTCGTTTTTACATTTACTCCGTCGGCTCCCTAGGGAAGGAAATAAAAATTATTGGCAGAGGCTAAAAATCAGGTAGCAAATAAAATGCGCTACGATGCATCAGTACCAGTCTAACTAGAGGTCTAATAAAGTTTGTCATTGACTCAAATGTTATTGTTGATATAATAATCGATGCATTTGCTCATTTTCTATTCTGCAGTCATCCTTCCTTTGATGATGGAGTTGCAAGGAACAGGTGAGGCAGTGTAATTCAAATTTTATGTATCTTAAAATGAATAGGAAAAAATATTATGAGGCTGATTCATCAATACATTTTGCTTATTTACAATAATCAGTCATAGATGTTCCATTGGTACATCCGTCCGATTGTAGATCTAAACGTGAGTTGAAGAAACTAAACAATAACTGAACAAGAACAAACAAAGAATAACAGCGCTTTCACCCTGATCTCCCTAATTTTGATCCTTACTGAAAACTTGAGGTGATTCCTCAGTATTGCATTGCGCATCCCGTATTGCGCATAAAACTCACGCAATCGGGTGAAAAAGCGCGCGTGTTTCGAGAACGCGATATTGTTTTTCAATCAATGGACTAGGTAAAAATGTACAATGGTCCTCAGCTCTTGAACGAGCACGTTGACCTGTATTTCTTGCTGCATAATTTTGGTGTACAAATTATCCCCTTTAAATTGGAGAAGTCTAAAAAAAATCGTCGACGGTAAAAAAAAAATATTACTAAAACTGTGCAGAAATCCTGTTGATGATGCAAATTATGACCGCGAAAGCGACAATTAGAGGATCGTTTCGTTTCGATGTGTTTGAATTGCGTAATTTCTCCACAAGTCAATTATTTGTATTTGCAACATCTGCTTCCAGTTTCCGCACAATTTACCGTTAGCCGATGAAATGACGCGTGTGGTTAGAGCCAGCACAGGCATATATGGGGTGTACAGGCACAAGCACGATGATCTTTCTTTTTTATTGTATTTTTCGAAACACACGCTGGTAAAGAACATTTAGGGAAAGTTGAAAACAATTTGTTCGATAGCCTTTTTTTCTGAGGAATCACCTTAAACTTAATTCTAATTTTTGCTTCAGGGAAGTAACAAGTTTCGTTGCTCATTGTTAGTCATGCATGAATCTTATTGATACAGCCAGTATTTTTCGCCTCCATTTTCATCATTATCATTATTGCTATCATGGTTATAATCTAAAAATCTGTACTTTTTCTTCTACTCATTTATACATTTATGTTTTTCATAGAAAGTCTATGTACCCATTTCAAAAACTCTTCCTACATATTTACAAAATGGGGAAGACGTTATTGGGAGAACGATGACGTCTGCTTATGTCATGGAGGAGACCTTGTTTACATCGAAACGGATGAAGAATGGAAATTTATCAAGGGTGAGATTCTAAAGCGTAATAGTTGGAATACTACCGCGTGGCATATTGGTTTATACAAGAGTCACAAGAATGGGATTTGGAGATGGTTTAGTGGAGAACCACTGAATATTTCGAAATGGCGAGATTCTGAGCCAAATGATAACGACAACTGCGCGGAAATATCGAAGAATGAAGGCCTCTTAAACGGTATCTCTCACCATAATGAAAATGCGTTCATCTGTGAATTTCCTGAGGGTAAGCAAACATTCCACCCATAAAGTACATTAAGTGCTAAACCATTTCCGCTTAACCCTGGTCCCGTTAAAATTTATTTCAATGATTAATTTTCAGAGGTAAATATATTGCTCTCACAATATCGAAAGCCTCTCCTAACTTGAATGTGTAAGCAGTGAATAAACTGTTTATTGCGCATTAACGGTTTCAAATTAGGATAATTCACACTTGTATTTAATTATGCGGTCTTTTTTTTCAGCCCGTTCTGATCAAATAAGGGAGGGGAGGTGGCTCAGGCTGCTAGACAACCTTGTTATAAGTGTCATACAATAAGTACAATAATCGGATGAGCTTACAGATAGTTTAAGTGCAATAATTCAAAATAGAATATCCGAAATAGAAGACGTCGCTGTGAAGAAATATGTGTCAAGTACCACTCCTGGTAGGAGCTGCTTTCCGACCAAAAAAGAGTTTTCCGTTATTTATTGCCCATGAGAAATTTCGGGACACATGTTGTATAAAAAGCTTCATCGTTCTAGAATCATACTTTATTTTGCTGCGCCGCAAGCCACAGCAAGTTTTCGACGGGCAAAGCGCCTGAAAGAAACTCGATCGAAAGGATACATTTCTCAACATTTGTCGAGCGAGCGTTCACTGCAGTCGGTGAGTGTTTGTATGTTGTGTTCAAAATAACACATCGAAGTATTCCTCTTTGTGCTTGAACGAGTGAACGATAAT